GAAACAATGCATGCCTTGTGGTCGCCTGTGGGTTATGCCTTCATATTTCTCCTCCTTCTGTGGAAACTGTCTTTTTCAAAACCTTTTTGTCCGTGTTGGAGTCAGTGAGAGCCAAGTGTATTTCCCCAAGACATTATATATTTCATTTGGTTCTGCCAAGTTTTCTGCATAAAGTCACGTAAAGTGGTCGCCTGGATCTTAGAGTTTCTTCTCGCTTGCTTTGTGTTTCTCCTGTGTGCCCTGTGTCTGTTTCAGGTGATAGATTGTGATCAGTCTATCAGCTATAAAAGTATGCTTTACCTTTGAATAAATTTTACCTTTGAATAATTTATGCTTTTCCTTTGAATAAATTAGCGCCTACTCTAGGTCTTTCAGTGATTTACAAAGAGAATCTTGATTTAACGATTTAATCTTGTGTTTTTGGTTATTTTCTCTGTCACCTGCCTGCATTAATGTTATCTCCACCTCAATGGTTAGGTTTCCATCTAGCTTTGTAGGTGGGAATTTCATTTACTTATTTATTTTCATGTTTCCATTTTCACGCATATGAATAGTCGTGCATTTTTCTCTGATCACTGCTTATATACATATATATGTATAGATGAGTGTGTGTGTGTGTGTGTATAGATATAGATAGATAGATAGATAGATATAGATAGATAGATAGGTATATCAGGGTTTCTGACAAGGAGGCTCTTTATAATAATTTATCAGTTACTACTATGTGATTTCCTGTCTTGTCTCCACTTTCACACAATACAGCCTCAGTGGAGAGCCTTTATGAGTTCTGGAGTGGGGGCAGGGGGACTTTGGCTTCTTCATGCCACCCAGCACTATTGCACTGTGCTCAGAGAGTGTCCTTTGGATCTGTCTCCTTTCCTGCACTTGCTGATATTTCCTTTGAGACCTGCTCTATGATAAGCTTTGTGACTCTTCCTGGTGTGCTTGGGAAGGTGTATTTGCCAGGATCACGTGATAGATTCCGCACCTTCTCTCATGTGCCATTTTAAGCACTATGCCACAGGTTCTTTTTGGCCATTGAACTTGTTGTGGCAGACTGTGTTTTCTACAGATGGCCGCAGCACCTTGGCCTCTCCCTGTGATGTGACTTTGGTACTTTTTCCATCGAGCAGTGGAGGCCTCCTGTCTTCCTACTGAACTCGGGTGGCCTCTGCCACATGAGGATGTTATGGGCGTGAAGAGACTAGGTCATGGAAATGCCCTGAAATCACTCCTTGCTCCTTGAGGCCACTCAAACTGGGAACCCACCCACCATGCTTGGAGGAAGCCTTGTGGTCTCCTGTGGGTTATGCCTTCATATTTCAAGAAACCCATGGGGAGAATCAGAGAGGCCCTGGCCCTGGCTCATGAGCTTCCAGCCCATAACCCCTCTCCACTTCCAGCCATGGAAGCCAGCTCCCTTGAATATGGATCCTCCAAGCCACAAATGGAGGCAACCCCAGGCAAGGGACATGAGGTGCAACAGGGGTGACGCATCCCTGCCTGGCCCTGAGAAACACAAATGATGGTTTTTGTTTGAAGCCAGCTCTCCCGCAGGGTCTTCCTTGACACCCCCTTAGCCAGAGCTCCTTTCCCCGACAGGAGAGCCTCATGCCAGCTGCCAGCTCTCCCTTTGCTCTCTTACCTGCTCAATCCCCACCTCATCCTCTGCCAATTTCCCTCCTTCCTGGCAGCGCACCTGGTTCTTCTCCTTCCAGTCTGTCTTGTGTGAATGACTTGACTCTCTTACTTCTCCTGCAGCCTCAACTTACCCCGCTCTAGAGAAACTCAGAGCCTCCTTAGAAGGTTCAGAAGGGGCAAGACCACACAGAACTAATTTTCGTGCTTTTACAACGATCCTTAGAAGCCTCAGAGGCATAATTTGCAAACTGGTTCTCCTAGGAAGCCCTCTCTAGCAGCAGAGTCACCCACCACCACTTGTCCTCCTGTATCTGCTCACTGTGCCCTTCGGGACAGTCTTCTCACACCTTCGCGTGCCCTCTGGCCTCTCGCTTCCTTGATGGCCTCATGTAAAATGACCTGATGCTGCATGCCACTCAATCCATGACTCCTGGGAGGCACCTGGAGCAGCTCCCCTTCCACATCCCTCCTGCATGCATCTTGCCCTGGGAGCACAATGTGTTGAGAGCCACAGCCAAAGGGGCCCCAGCAAACTTCCAGCTGCCAGCAAACTTCCAGCTGCCAGCTGATGATTGGCTCACAGCAGCCCCAGCAAACTTCTCGCTGCCAACTGATTGGCTCCTCTGCGGTGATGCTCATTGGGCTGTTTCCCCGCCCTTTCAGACCACGGAGCTGCTCATTGGGGGACTTTTGTGGCTCCGCCCACTCGACCCAGCCACTCGGCCTCAAGAGCAGGAGGAGTGGGGGAGGTGGAGAGGCTTGTGGGCACCCGGTGGTGGCAGTTGGGCTCCGAAGGTTTTCCTGAAGAGCTGTGTGGTGTGGCGTGTGTGTTCTAAAAATAAAGTTCGTTTCTTTTGACAAGTGGCTCCTGAATTGTGCCCAGCCAGACTGTGGCAACAATGTCCAATCCTTGCAGCCTGCAAAGTCCCTTGAGCATCCTACAGTCATTGGCCAGCCTATCAGGTCACCTGCTCCCCAGGACCATTTTCCTTTTCCTGCATCCATGAGCCCCACCCATCTGCTTAGATTTGAGGTCTGCCATTTCTGTCAGTCTGTTCTGGAAGCACACTTCCTGTGCTTTCTGTACATTTGCCGGGCATAATCTTATTTCTGTAAAGATCCAAAATGCTCCTCCTCTTTGCCAGCCTCTTCCTCTGTTAGGGTCTGTAAACAAGTCAAGATGGCACCTGGCATTTTGCAAGGGGGAGTGGTTTGTGAAGTAACGCCAGCGAGCCATTAAGTGTGGAGATTCCTTATTGGTTGACTGCTGTATCTAGTTTATGTTAATTAAGATAAGCTGT